TATATATATATATATGATAACAAACAACTATGTTGTCCGGGGATATTTTGTCCGAGGATATTTTGTCGGGGATATTTTGTCGGGGGATCAAAAATCATGGAACCACAAAAAGCGAATAATTCATCTTGGGCCCAATAATCAATAGTCTGATTTGTCGCTGGGATGAATTGTCGGGGATGAATTGTCAGAGTATGAATTGTCAAAAGGATGAGTTGTCGGGGATGAATTGTCTGAGGACCAAAACGCGTCACACCATTTTTTGGACTCTCATTTAGATTTCTTTCCTGAAAATCTTGGAGCCGTATCAAATGAGCATGGTGAAAGGTTTCATCAGGATATAATGCAGATTGAAAAACACTACAGTGGGAAATGGTCAGCAGCAATGCTTGCTGATTTCTGTTGGTCAATTCGCCGAGAAACTCCAATAGAAACAATGAAAAGGAAAAAAACTACAAAATAACAAATTTTCTCACCATATAATGAGATAGCTGACCGATATTTGTTCATTTTGTGACTATAATTTAGGATTTTTCAATGTAAAACTTAGACTGTAATATTTATTCATTTCGTTATAATAATTAATGTTTTAATAATATTATTTGTTAATTAATTAAATAAATATTATATTGGAAATCTACGTGTGGTACTTAATTGTATGTCAGATTCCGTGTTTAGAGCACAAAATATAAAGAATTCATGCATGAAAACAAGAAGGAGAAAAAAAAATTTTTTTTTTGCAGACCAGTGTAATCGGGCAATCTCTTACAAATTTTCGGAATTTATTTAGACATATTTCATCTTCATATTAAAAAAAATCAAGCCTTTCATCAAAAGTTGCCTTGGTGTTCGTATTACCTTAAGTAAAGCCCCAGAGGCGAAAGCTTAATGAATTGACTCGAAAATTTCAATATTCGAAAAAAAATGTATCTTTGTATGATTCTAGTATATGTAAAAGATACAGATAAAAGAAACGTAAACTGAAAACTTTGAGTTTCGCTGACAAATTAGAAGTGCTCGAAGCCGTGAAGAGCTGTCAAAAGAAGAAAGATGTTGCTGAACAATTTGGCCTACCAATGAGTACTCTGTCAACAATAATAAAAAATGAATCAGACATTATAAGAAAAATACAAAACGGTCAAAGTTTGTCCTGCAAAAGACAACGAGTTTCAGAATTTCCAGGCTTGGAGGAGTGCTTACTCAAATGGTTTGAGCAGTGTCGGAGCCAAAATATCAGTGTTAGTGGAACACTATTACAAGAAAAAGCCGAAACATACTCTAAATCATTGGGACTTGCTAATTTCAGGGCCAGTAATGGATGGCTAGAAAAGTTTAAAAGAAGATATGAACTTGTTTTTAAAAAAGTTTGTGGGGAAAGTGCAAGTGTCAACATTGAAACCTGTAATAAGTGGAAAAGTGAATTGCAAGATTTGTTACATGGTTACGAACCTGACAATATCTTTAATGCTGATGAAACGGGGCTGTTTTTTAAATGTTTTCCTGACAAGACTCTAACTGATAAAGCTTGGCGAAATGTAACTGCGATTACTATTCAAAACTGTTATGCACACTGTGGTTTTTCATCGTCGTCAACAGAAGAAGCTGAAACCGAAGATATTTCACCTTTTGCAGAGTGGAATACAGTGGTGTCTGAATCAGGAATTTCTTTTGAGGACTTTGTTACCTGCGATGATGAAGTTATGACTGCTGGGACATTATCTGATGAGGAAATTATCGATTCAGTAGCTCAGAAAACCGATACTAACGATTTAGACAGCTTAAGTAATGATTTAGATGACACAGAAACTCCATGGGTTTCCATCAAAGAGGCAAGGATCGCATTGAATACTTTACGGATTTTTATAGAGCAAACCAGCAATTCCGCAGAACAAGAATTTTCTGCTCTTTATACATTGGACAATGCTATAGATAGAGAACAACCGAATAATCTAAAGCAAAAAAAAATTAATGACTTTTTTCATGTTAATTTATAATAAACTATTTATTATAAACTATTTATAATAAACTATTTATTATAAACTATTTATAATAAACTATTTATTATAAACTATTTATAATAAACTATTTATTATAAACTATTTATAATAAACTATTTATTATAAACTATTTATAATAAACTATTTATTATAAACTATTTATAATAAACTATTTATTATAAACTATTTATAATAAACTATTTATTATAAACTATTTATAATAAACTATTTATTATAAACTATTTATAATAAACTATTTATTATAAACTATTTATAATAAACTATTTATTATAAACTATTTATAATAAACTATTTATTATAAATTATTTATAATAAACTATATATATATATATATATATATATATATGACTTAATTAAAAAATCTTACGAGTGAGACTTCCGCTCCGATGTTTCTTCTTTTTTTCCTTTAAACGATCTTCAATACCACGATCAATGTCAATATCCATACAGTAAGCTTCTTTTTGCTCATCAATTAAATTTTTTGGTAGAACTCCTATGCAACGGGCATTCTCGATCAGAACCTAAAAACATTAATGATAAATAATAATAATTATTAATTAACAGCCCCTAAAAAATATGTAATTATATAAATAAATAAATAAAAATATTATAAACCTTGACGATAAAAAGATGTGCTTATTTTACTCCTCTAACTCAAAATTTATAAAAATGAATCTCAACCTCTTTATGTCGAATTAAAATCCGCTTAAGTCGAAATCCTCCATAACTCGAAAACTCTATAACTCGAATTTTTTTGCCGCTGAATTCGAGTTATAGAGGTTCTACTGTATTTGATATATATCTAATTATTGGGAAGTGAAGTCAAATACTTTTAAAGCAAAGTACAAACCTTGAACTCCTTGGCGATATCCTGCTGCCACTGAGGTAATTTATCTAACTCTTCTCGATAATAACGTTCAGAAGCAATAATATGAGCCGCTAAACAATGGGAATGAAAATAGTGATAACACTCAGTTTTTGTGAATTTATCGCCATCACGAAAACCGTATAAGCATACAACACATTGCCCTGTTGGTAAATTTTTTTGAGTCAAATGTTCACGAACTAACTAGAATCATAAAATTAATTAGGAAACATGATGAAAATGATAGGAATCATGTAAAGGAAATTATGTTACCTCTATCAATTCAAAGACCACGGGTTGACCTGAAAATTTTTGGCACTTAACTTCTAATTCTTTTTGGATTATTTTCAATGTACTTTCATCCAAACCTCGAGGGTTTTTTAATGAAATTTTAGGTGGTACATCTGGATAATCAGATACAAGATGCACAATGAGAGTTATACAAACATATTGTGACTGTGGATCTTCTCCCGTTGACGGAAAAATCTGGATCTCAATAGTATCTGGGAAACCCCTGACAATAAAATGAATTGTTAATATTAGATGAATAAATCTAAACTATGGTTAACTTTGCATGCTATTTTAGAAAAGTTCTATTGTTTTCAAACTCGAAGGGCTCCAAAATTTTATTGTCAGTATAATATTATTATGCTTCTCCAGCTCAAAAATGTAAATGTTTGTATGCCTTTAGGCTCTTCGAACTCAAAAATATTAAAAATATTGATATTTTTATCCTTCGACACTTTCGTTAAACATCGTTTCATTAACATAATCTATTTATGTTATCACCCCTGATAAAAAAAAAGTATTGAGACAAAGAAAACAATATTGAAAAGTATTGGTTTTCTAGTCAATCCAATAATTTTCAATTCTTTTTTTTTTGTCCCAATACTTTTTTTTATTCAGGGACTGTTAACAGTAACGAACAAATGTTCGTTTTCAAATTCATACAGATCAATAACATATGAACATGGATTTTCTGAGTAAAAATTTTAGTCTTTGATTTATTTTTATTTCATTTCAAAACTTAAAAAAAAAATAAAAAAGAGAAATTATTTATCCGTACCACTCGAGTGATGCAAATAGATTTCATTCTAACTTTACCATCTCTCTATCTTTCTACGTGTAAAAGATGCAATTTCGAAAATTAATTACTCAAAAACGGTGTGGTGAATTGATCTGAAATTTTGGTGGTGAATTATTAATATATTTATCTTTCGATAAAAAATTTTCATAATTTTCTTGAAATATGCCTTGTACGACCTAACTATCTTAAATTAAGATTTTTCTAAATTGGGTTCTCAAGGAATTATTCGAGGTCAAACATGGAATTATAGTATCCCTACTAGTCCCTACTAATATTATAAATGTGAATGTAAGTTTGTTTGTTACGCTTTTACGCGAAAACTATTCAACCGATCATCATGAAACTTTATACCCATATTTTTTGAGGTATTCGAAGTAACATAGGATACTTTTTATTAAAAAAAAAAAATTGTTTTTTACAAAAAATAAAAAAATTGTTTGTCGGAAAATCTCAAAATCTAGCTACTTCAACGTCATCTAGCATGCGAGCGAAACCGCGGGCTAAACCTAGTATTAAATAAAAATGATAAAAAAATATGAATTTGAAGGAGAATGCCCGGAAAAAAAATGATTTTGCCTTCTATGATAACTTATATGTTATCATAGAATCACATTTGGCCATATGCAGACGTATATATGATTATGTATGGGTTTGTATCAGCCAGTAATCATATCTATTTATATATGAACCCATATATAATCTGATCTAGTCATATATAGACTTATATGGACTCATTCTAAGGCTTAATCAGTCAGATCTGATCAGATCTAATTATATATAGATTCATACATAACTGTATGTGAGTCTATATATAATTATATATGAATTCATATTAGTCAAGTATAATTAAGTCTAATTATATATAAGTTTATAGATGATTCTTTATACTCATATATAGATCTATGTATAACCATATATACACGGGAAAAAATTTCTGGGAAAATTTACGATACAGCTATTGTAAAGCTGGACTATACTTTTATTACTATTAATTATCAAATATTTTAGAAGAAAAAATACTATTTATTCATGAAAAAATACTATATTACTATTGTAAAAAGTAAGAGATGAAAATTTCCAGTGCTGCCTCTGTATCTTTCCAATAGAACTATAGCAAATTTTACAATGGTTGAATTGGAATGTATCTCAATTAGTGTGAGTGATGGCCGTGCACAGCGCTAGACTCTGAGTTTATGTAAATGTTAAAGGATATGGGTCTTAGTTTGCCTCGGATAGCGTAGAAGAAGAGTCTCTGGCTGCCAACACAGAGTTCTGGGTTCGATTCCCACATAGCACGAAAATATCGGTTTTTTTTTTCGATTACTGTGCAGATACCAATTAGTCCAACCTTCTATCTCTCTTCCTCCATAATATTTCTTTTAAAAAAACCAACTGTGAATTTTTACAATAGTTGAATTGTAAAGTTCACAAACACATATTGTATAATTTGCTCTATAGTATTCGACTTTTTAAGACTCTTACTAGTCTTATTTGTTGGATAAAATTTACAATAGTAGATCGTAAAAATTACTAAATGAGAAGTATAGTCCACCGTTACTATTTTATTTAGTAAAAATTACAATAGTAAAATAGTAAAAACTCCTTCAATTTTCTTTCCGTGTACTTATATATAATACCATATATAATTATATATTCTATATATAATCATATATAATTATATATTCTATATATAATTATATATGATCTGGCAAAATCATTTTTTCCGGGTGAGGACACTATAGTCTCACGCTCACATGTTCATACGCATACTTCATAGGTATATGTCGAAAGTGTACTTGACATGAGACACTTTCTGTATTACAGTTTCAAATTATTGAAAATTGAGAAAAAATTTGTTATTCATCTTGAGAAACTTATCATGAAGTGAAAATAAAAATCAATGAATTGAGAATTTTTTCACAAAAATAAAATACATTGCGATAGCTGAAATAGGGTTAGATTTCTCATTGTTTCTAAAAACTTGTAAAACCTTATAAATGCATGCAGCAGTAAAATTTAATTAAAAATATGGAAAATTTATTTTCTAGAAAATCAAGAAGGTGTTAAAACTACAGGTTTCTTATGAGCTTTCTAGGGCTTCCCACGAGATGAGATCCCTGTTTAAAAATATTGATTGAAAAGAATTAAAAATAATGAAATTCGAATTCATTTCAATAATTTCAATTCTTTTGTTTGTAGATAGATAGATAAGTGTTTTCTTTGTATCACAAAAATTATGTGTTTTACAAAGAATATAATTTTAATTATATTAAATATTTAAAGTTATGTGTTTATAAAAACTACAGTAGTTTTTTAAACTTTGAATTTCTATAAGATAATATAAATTAATATGGTCATACGGACAGACCACGGTTATATATATATTAGGGTGTCCGTTATTTCCCAAATCGATTTTTTTTTAGCAATCGCCCCCTGAATCTTTAGTTTATGACCTAAAAAAAAATATCCAACACAAATGGGCTCTTAATTTTCACATTAACCCGTGCCGGAATCATGTTATATTTCCCATTTAAATAACATGAGATTTTTAGACTTTTTACTTTTAATTTTTTTTCTCAGAAACAAATGGGAGTAAAAATTTGATCGATGCATATTCTGGTAGGAAATTGAACGCTCTACAAAAAAGTTTTCTTATGAATTTTCGATAAAACAACTCCTTCAAAAGTTATTCAACGTTAAACTTGGGTTTATTGTCAATTCTATGATATTTTTAATTTTATTTTCATTTTTACCTTTTTTGGCTATAAAATCGTTGAAATAAAAGATTATTATTATTATCAATAGAGTACCAATGATCATTTATGTCGATATAATGGTCTAAACAGAAAACCAAAAGAAAAAAATGAAGTGATGAGTGAAATAAAAAACAAATTGCTATTTTTTGAGTTGTGACTTCTACAGTTTTAAGATTTGGTTAAATAGTTTTATATATTGTTTATCTAAGGTAGATTTCTAGAAAATTGACTCGAAAGGTGTGAATGAAAAGTTATTGGGGTATCGAAAGTTGACATGTTGTGAGATCTCTGAAGCGTTTTAACTAAGACAATTTGAATTTGGTAGATTTTTTTTTTTTTTTTTTTATAATTAATCTAATCAACAAGTGTTTTTTTGTTATACTTGCTCCAGAAGTTCAACTTCTGAGCGCTGGGTGGCGTCCGTAAAGGGACTCTTTTCTAGAGACTTTACCATACCGTCTTTTTTTCACGGCCTAGGCCGTGAAGTTTTACCCCCTCCTTTTTTTTACGAACTTTTCATGCACACCCAGACGAAATTGAGAGAGATTGTAAAAAAAAAGTCACATTCTAGCGTACTGACCGATAATTTTTAGTCTTAGTTACTATTGAGTGGCGCTAATTATTTCTCTGCTGGCAAAAACAACTAAATGCGACCTAATGTTAATAAAATAACAACAAGGTGCGTCCGTAAAGGGACTCTTTTCTAGAGACTTTACCATACCGTCTTTTTTTCACGGCCTAGGCCGTGAAGTTTTACCCCCTCCTTTTTTTTACGAACTTTTCATGCACACCCAGACGAAATTGAGAGAGATTGTAAAAAAAAAGTCACATTCTAGCGTACTGACCGATAATTTTTAGTCTTAGTTACTATTGAGTGGCGCTAATTATTTCTCTGCTGGCAAAAACAACTAAATGCGATATTATATTAAATTTCTGTAAATTGCATCTGAAAGCTTATTCAAAAAGCTTTAATTTGCATACCTCACCATCAGTTAAGGCCAAAAATTACCTACTTTCTCGGACAGATTCAATGAAATTTTACTTTTGCATTCGTTTTGATGTCATCGTTTTTTTGTAACAGAAGATGTATATTATTATTAATATTATTTTATAAAAAATATGTTTTTTTTATTTGAGAAATCTACTTCCATTTTGGCTGCCGAATGGTCTTTTTTTTAATTTTATAAGACGTCAAAAAATATAAGTTTCTTCAGATGTATTTTCTAATTTCTTAAGACCTTAAGAATATGAGCTCGTAAGGAGGTTTTTTTCTGATTTCACAAAATGAAAAAATTTTGGACTTGGAAAAATATCTTTTATGATATTGTTGAAAAATTTTTTAAAATGATATAAAAAAAATCAGAACAATAGCTCTCTAATAAAGTAGTTACATGGCTATACATTCATTTTTTACTTTAAATACATCATTATCAATAATAAAACCTTTAGTAATTTTACCTATTCACAATTAAATCTATGGTTAAAAAAAAAGACACAGCTAATCGATTCTGGTACTTCTACTTTCTATAAATATTTAACTTCTGAATAGATTTAATAGGTAATGAAAAGAATTGAATTGATTTCTCAACTTACCGATCATTCTTTTGTACTTTGAACTCATTGTCCAGCAAAATAGCACAAAGAGCTTCGATTTCTTCTGATAACCTGAAATGAATAAAAATTATCGAAAAAAATATGACATATTATATATTTTTATTGTAAACCTCACCTTTCATCAATCGTGTCTTCAGACATTTCGAGAGTAATTATCATTCCTATGGCTGCATATATGTGTGTATATCCTTTGTTCCTTTGGTTAAAAGTTTGGTTTTGTGTCGTTCGTACTAACTAATCTAATCACCATAATTAACAGTTCTTTCATTCATGTATATTGATTAGCTTTGATAAATCAATGACTTACAAATAGCAGATGACACACATATTCCAAGAATCAAAAACGTATCGAGTTGGATTTGAAAATAATTTTCCATTCTAATTCGTTTCAGTCTTTTATATAATTTTTTTATTAAAGTTACTCCATCTAACAGCACAGTTGATCGTAAGTTATATCGAATGCTAAAATAACTGTAAAAGGGTTAGCACGTTAATATTTCCGACAAAATATTTCTGGAGTTCATGACAATTCGCATGTCGTGAAAAATAAAAATTATATAATTGTATATAAATAAAATTTAAAGCCTGTAACGATATTTTTTTTCTTTTTTTAATAAATTAACGTAGCTCTGTTATCAAGTTATGAATGAATTTAAAACAGTACATTTTTACGAATTCTTGTAAATTATTTCTGTTGCTTTCATTCCTTGAAAATAAATGCTAATAATTTAATGAGTAACAAAAAAAAAGTTTATAACATTATAATAGGGTGGTCGTTAAAAATTAAATTTTTTGCGGCGCCCAAAAAAATTCTTCCTTGGGACGAGAAACTACGGGAAAAATTTTGCTTTTTCATTTTAAACAAAAAGAACACGTGCCGACGGGCAATTGAAGATTTTTCGATAAAATTATAGTTTTTTGAAATATTTGTTACGGTATTTAAATTCGGACAAGAAATCATGAAAACAAGTTTGTAGGAAATTCAATTCTCTACAAAAGGGTTTCTTTCGGTTTTAGATGAAGTTCATATCTATCGAGATAATCTTATTAGTAAACTTATAAACTCTATTATGGGGGAGGGGGGGTTTAAAGGCGAAAAAAGCATATTTTTGTGATTTTTTTGCGGTGATATGAGTGATATAATTTTATTAAATTTAATTACATATTATTGTACAACTATTAAAGTATATCAGAAAAAATTTTCAATGAAAAATATTGATACATAAGCCGGTGACGTTGAATTTCCAGAAGCGCCTTGAAAAAAAAGGGGGTTTTGCGGTGAACATTGTAACTCGTTACCGGATCATCTGAAACAAAAAAATTGATATGCGTTTTGAAGGGGATGAATTTCTCGAGGTAATCAGGAAGAGTTTTTTTTTTTTTTCATTTTTGTCTATTTTTTAATAACAAATTAACCGCGATTTTTTTAGCTAAAATCACGTTTTCTACTTTCAAGTACTGTAAAAAATAGAAAAAAAAAAAACCTCTTTCTGATTACCTCGAGAAATATATCCCCTTCAAAATGCATATCAATGTTTTTATTTCAGGTGATCCGGTAACGAGTTATAATGTTCACCGTAAAACTCCTTTTTTTCAAGGCGCCTCTGGAGATTCAACGTCATGGGCTTATGTATTAATATTTTTCATTGAAAATTTTTTCTGACATACATCAATAGTTGTACCATAACGTGTAATTAAATTTAATAAAATTACATCACTCATATTACCGCAAAACAATTACAAAAATATGCTTCTTTTTCGCTTTAAAAACCCTACCCCCCCCCCCCTTTAAGTCAGTCATTTTAGTACTAATTTTTAATAACAAATTAACCGCGATTTTTTTAGCTAAAATCACGTTTTCTACTTTCAAGTACTGTAAAAAATAGAAAAAAAAAAAAAACCTCTTCCTGATTACTTCGAGAAATAAATCCCCTTCAAAACGCATATCAATTTTTTTGTTTCAGATGATCCGGTAACGAGTTATAATGTTCACCGTAAAACTCCTTTTTTTCAAGGCGCCTCTGGAGATTCAACGTCATGGGCTTATGTATTAATATTTTTCATTGAAAATTTTTTCTGACATACATCAATAGTTGTACAATAACGTGTAATTCAATTTAATAAAATTACATCACTCATATTACCTCAAAACAATCACAAAAATATGCTTCTTTTTCGTTTTAAGGTTGTACGGACACTAATGCACTTTTAAAGATCAGAAGCTAATTTTTTTATATGTTATAAATAGCTATCTTATACGTCTAAATTAATTTTTTGGAATAGATCTGTCGAAGGGTTATTGTTTAATAAATTATTAAAAAATATAAATTTAAGATGTAGGTTATAGAGACTGTTGACGAAATGCACATTTATCGATTTATGTGACTAATCCATAGGAAGATTAAAAAACAAAAAACTTATCTTTAAATCAATCAACTTTCATAAAATACGTTAAAATTAAAATTAATATTTTCTGCCGAAGACTTTTAAAGCTATTTTAATTCAAAAGATCAGAAATTCACGAAAATATCAGTCCGACATACTTAAAAATAATTAAACCACGTGATTCAGCGCAGTGTGGCAACGTTGCACAGAATAGAACACGCCACCCTTATGAAAATTTTTCGGACTTTTTTCTCAAAAAACCTCGAAAACTCTGAAAAAGTCTTTAAAAGTCTTTAGAAGTTTTTTTCTGAAAAAAGTCCGAAAAATTTCCACAAGGGCAACTTTGAATTTTAATTTTTCCTCTGTATTTCTGTGGGTTATGTTTTTATACTTATTTATAAAAAAAAAGAATTTGTCGTTTTCAATTTATTAAGCTGTATTAGAAAAAAAATACATTTAAAAATATACTTTTTCTTGCAAATTCTGCTATTACCAATAACCTCTTACAACTTAACACTAACTCAGCTACACAGAAAGGTAAATATAAACAGCTGTTAAGCGCGATGTTGCCAGGTCTAAGTTTTGTGAAAAAATACTCGAGTCAAACGTTAACTATTTATTGTTTTTGTTAATTAAATTAATTAATTAATTAAAATAATAATATTGTTAGATAACGGTTAAATTATAGTAATGAATTTTCGTATTAAAATTTTTAATTTTTATAAAAAAAAAATTTAGATTCTATTATGACTAACGGGGTACTGTCCGTGCAACCTTAACCCCCCCCCCCTTAAGTCAGTCATTTTAGCACTAAAAACTTTATTTTTCCCGAAATATGAACAATTTTATAACTTCTATTCATAATTAGTTATTTAAATACCCAGTTTAAGAAAGAAATTAATTGAAGAAGGATTAACGAACTGTTCTAATCTTTGGTCGAATAATTTTGATACATCTTTTTCAGCTATTACCAATTTTTTTGAATTATAGATTTGACTGTCATCTGAAGAATTAAGTTCATCATTAGAAGTATCGAACAATTTCTGAACCATTTTGCACGCCTCATAGCGCGAAGCGCGTGAGGTTGTGCTTTATACTCGACTCATCAAGGTCAAGCAATTTTGTGATCTTTAAATGCCTCTATCACAACCATATTACATTTATACAATGATATAAGTAGATGTACACTGAAAAAACACTTAAATTAAACCATCTTTTACTTTCTGAAATCATTTCATGTTGCTATTTTGAAAAAAAAAGTTTTGAAAAAAATTTTACGTGGACGTCGGGATGTCACCCCATTTTGGATGTACCAACGATTACTCCCGAACAAATTGATATTTCAAAACCAGACTTTTTTTATTAGTTTAAGAATTCGATGAACTGGGTCCGTATTTCATATCAGTGGCCTAGCTTACGTATTTTTTTTTTAATTGAATTTTTATTAAAATTCACTACGATACAATCGTACAAAGCCAAACGAACTTTTCTTATTTGTCACGTGAAAACTATGGCGCCACTTGATCAAGCTAGGTTTTTTTAGACTGCGTGCGCATATGATAAGAAAAAAGGGCGCTGATATTTAAAAAAAAAAATAAAAAATACTCTGTAAGAAATTATTTAATTATAATTTTTTTTTTTTAATCAATTACACAACTAATTTTTTACTTAAAAAATGAATGAGCGTTATGAGGCGTGCACTTTTGGATTTTCCAAACTTTTTTTTTTTCGTTTCTTTATCAACACCGTCATCGAATAATGCCATCAAACAGTTTTTTGGAGTTAGGTACCATAAATGAATCAAAGTTTTTTTCAAAGCAGCAGAAGACAGTTTTTTGTCAATTGATTAGAAGTTGTAAATCGATTGTGAAAACTGGCAAGAAAATATAAATATATATAAATTATCAGATCTGTTTGAACGCTGTAAATAATTTATCAGTTGTGAACGATGTTGCTGAACGTGGTGTAAAATTAATGCGAGAATACAATGATATGTTCACGAAAGATGAAGATCAGAAGCAGTTTATTATTCAAATTTTGGATGATTACAGAGCTCGAAACATACAAAATACAAAAGAAAGCTTACTCAAACCTTGGAATTGATAAATCGGTTTATGAGAAATAAATTTGCACATTTCCGTTTTGAAAATAAGGAAATAATATCAAATATAACTTTGTTATCATTTATGAGACCTATTTAAATAACTTATTGTGAATAGAAGTTATAAAATTGTTCATATTTCTGGAAAAATTAAGTTTTTAGTGGTAATATGACTGACTTAATGGAGTTTATGAGTTTATTAATAAGATTATCTCGATAGATATGAACTTCATCTAAAACCGAAAGAAACCCTTTTATAGAGAATTTAATTTCCTACAAACTTGTTTTCATGATTTCTTGTCTGAATTTAAATACCGTAACAAATATTTCAAAAAACTATAATTTTATCGAAAAATCTTCAATTGCCCGTCGGCACGTGTTCTTTTTGTTTAAAATGAAAAAGCAAAATTTTTTCCATAGTTTCTCGTCCCAAGGAAGGATTTTTTTGGGCACCGCAAAAAATTTAATTTTTAACGACGACCCTATTATATAATATTGTTTTATCATATTCAAAATATAAAAAATTTTTTCAAAATAAATCTCAGATGTCTTTTATCAAGTGACTCAAAAAAATTAGTTATTAAGTATAAGCTCACAATCAAGTTTTTCAGGTTCTACAAGAGTAGTTTTTTGAATATAAAAATGTATTTTTTATTACACAACTTCATGACAAACTAGATTCAGTAGATAAGACAATTTTCCAACGTACATTGATATAAAACATTTTTTGATTTTTTATATACTTCAT